ACAGTTACCACAAACAACTCAGTTCTCATTTGATTAATCCCCTATATATATATATATATATATATATATATATATATATAATTTTACATAAGAAAAAGAAATTTTAACATTAACGTAAAATAACAAAATAAAAATTTATAACATAATTTAACATACATGATAACGGATAAACATAGTTTCTATTCAAAACTATAATTATTGTTATTAAAATAGTAAATAAAATATGTTATTTTAATGTGGGGTCTATAAATTTGGTGTTTTTTAGAGTGTGATTGGAGTTGAGTTTTTTTTTAACGTTGATGAGCTCATTATATTTGATGTTTTTTGTGTTTTTTTTTAATGATATGGTTGAAGATGCTCTAACTGATGGTTGGACTTCACATCTCAAGGGCGGCAGGATTTCCACAATGAGAGAGAGAGAGAGAGAGAGAGAGAGAGGGTTGACGTTCATGGGTGAGGGACGAAGAATACCTCCATCCCAGATTTGGGTTCAAGGCACAAGGAAAGGATTCAATTTCTAGGTTCGGTGCATAAGGGACAGAGAGAGTGAGAGGGGAGATGGTCGGAATCGAGAACAATCCAGATCCCATCAATACCAAATCGCCGGTTCCACCTCCATCGCTGGCGCCACCCTCCATCGGCAAAAAATGCCTTCGTCCTGTGGTTTGTGACTGGTATCGAAGATGAAAAAGGCCCAAATTGCCTTCGTCCATGTGGTCTTCGTTGTCCAACACACATCTCCCTAACATGTTTCCCTTCAAGGTTTTATTATTATTATTATTGTTATTATTATTATTATTTAATTTTGATTAACTCCAAACATTAATCAATAATAGCATTTCTTTCTGAAATTTAATTTTAATAATTAGATTAAAACGAGTAGCCTTTTTTGTTGTAAAATTTAAAATAATGATGATCTGATAAAAAAGAATAAAAATAAGACTGTATTAAGCAAAGTGATGTCCAATCAAATAATGGGAAAAAAAAAGTGTACAAATTTTCGTATTCATTGTCGTGAACGTACTCTCATATAAAACCTGCTTTTGTCACGTCATTTCATTTACTCATTTTTTTCAATTTTATATTTTATTTTAAAATACAATTATTAATTACTTTATAACAAATTGATATACGTGTTTGAATTCTGATAAGAAAGAGAGTTAGGGTCTCAGGTTCAAATTTAAAGAGGAATAAAAATCTTTTTGTGGTTACAGAAGTTCAGATGCGGTGACTCCGGACTATCTGCAAAGCAGGTGGTCGTACTGGGATTAGTCGGCTCGCATAGTGGGTTGGATATCCAGATTAATCACACAAAAAAAGAGGGTTAAGGTGAAAAGTAGAAAAGGGGATCCTCACCTTTGGATTACATTAGGATGAGATGTCCCGAGATGCACATAATCAATCATCGTACCAATTGTGATTCATAGATAGTTTTGAGATTAAAGGTGATCAATGGTATAAATCGTTTCCTACGTTTTTCAACATAACTCTTCTTTTCACACGAGTCTTTTGCCTTGATATGTATGTGTGTGTGTGTGTGTGTGTGTATATAAAGTTAGGTTTAGAGAAGAACCAATAAATAAATAATAGAATACGAAAACAGTCGAATCAAATTAATTTTACACTACATTAACGCGTAAAATCATATGTGACTTAGGGGCCGTTTACCAAATGCTTACTCGGGTAAGCGCTTACCAAGTCATATTCTCTTATCGGATTAATATGGCAAGGACCAAGAATCTTACCTGGTAAGAGCAAAGGCAAGGAGCGAAAGTCTTACCCGATAAGTGATGGCGACGACTATTACCACGGTTAGCGCTTACCGGGTAAGTTGTTACATACGATGTTGTTTTGGTAAACTAAAATCTTATCCGGTATGTAAGTGATAAAGTTGAATTTTATCGTTAAACACTTACCACATAAGTGTTTGGGTAAACGGCCCTTTACACGACTTTGACCTCTATTGAATGTGTTTGTAATCACACATGATTTTGCCATTTGTTTATTCTCATATTTTAAAAATATTCTCATTTGATTTTTCTAATATATCCTTTTTTTTTTCTCGTCAAGAGCATTTTCAATAAATTCTTCAAAATGTTGAGAATGAAGATTTTAGGAAAGTTTTTTACTTTTATAAATTTTTCAGAATAGAAAAAGTAGAAAAAATGTAAAATTTCCAAAATATGGAGAACTTTTTATATTTAATTTAAGGTTAATAACGAAATATTTACTTTTTTATATTTAATTTAAGGTTAATAACGAAGGAATTTAATTTTGGTTTAATAATATAACTTTTATAAAGTTAATCATTAAGTATCCTGTTAGTATTCAATGATATCTTAATTATATTATAATTTATTTATATTTAAAATGAGATGTCTATTCTGTATTTGATTATTTTTATGTGTAATTAGTTACACGAATTCAAGAATGAAGCTTTAATAAGTTGTACTTACGCATAATTTACTCGTAATCTTGAATTTTAAATAATATACATCAATAAACAATATTCATACATAAAAATGAATTTTAAGAGTTTTTTATGAAATTATTTATAATATTGTATAGGAAAGCATGAAAGAAAATATTTTTAGATTATATTTCCACTGGTAAAATCATCTCTAACATTATTTTATATATATATATTTTTTTAAATTTAAAGATTTCTCCTTCGTATTTTTTTCTTTTCTATTTTACAAAAATAACATTGTTGTTAAGAAATCTTGAAATAAAACATTTATTAAATGTATGAAATATTTAATAATACTATAAGGGTATTCGCACAATACATCAAAATATATTTTCATTTTAATGTTTCGTTTTATTTTTTGTCTTCGTTGATATAATACTGTTTATATGGTTTTGAGAAAGATAATGTTTTTACGATTTAGTGAAGTAATTTATTTTTGTCTTAACAATAAAATTTTATAAAGATAATGATTATGTTAGAACTCAATGATTATCTTAATTATACTTTAGATTTTTTATATTTAAAATGACATGTTTATCATGTGTTTGATTATGTTTATCTGCAGTTAGTTATACGAATTCAAAAATGAAGCTTTAATAAATTATACTTACGCATAATTTACTTGTAATTTTAAACTTTAAGTAATATATATTTAATACACATTATTTCATACATAAAAAATGGTTTTTTAGAGTTTTTATCGAATGCTTTATAATATAGTATAGATAATCAAATACTGTAATTTTCAAAATAAAGTATATTAAGTATTTTATTAAATAATAGTTTTTTTTTCCAACAAATTAAAGCAAGTAATTCATGGATGGATTGAAACTTGAAAGCATATATAAATGAGTTAAAATTATAATTTATTTATGGAGGAATTAATAATGCATGAAATGGATTTGATTAATTAATACAAATAAAGATGAAAACCAAAAAACACAAAGAATAAAGTTGACTGACTGATCTCAACCACTCGACCTTCAGATGTCTTCAATGGCTTCACCCTCGAATTGATATTACCCACACGTGTATTGCTTCTATTACACACATCAACTTCAAGCGTTACAGAATCATATGCTTGCAATGGATTCAAACACAGCTGCCTATTCCCACTTACGTCCAAATTCTTCCCCAATCTCTTCAAGAAACCAGAATCAAACGGAATCTCTCCAGTCAACCAGTTATTGCTCAAATTCAAGTGATATATGTGTGAAAGATTCCCCAAACCCACAGGGATACTTCCGGTTAATCGGTTGTTTTGCAGCGACAATGTGGTAAGGTTCGACAGCTGAGAAAATGTGGCCGGAATTTCGCCGGATAAGCCGGAGTTGGCGAGTCTCAGTTCTTGTAGTTTCGGAAGCTGACCCAACTCCAGGGGTAGTTGAATCGACATTGGGTTGTTATCCATGATCAAATACTCTAATCCCTTCAAATTCGCCAACCCAACCGGCAGTTTCCCGTTAAATCTATTGTTGTTGAGAGCAATGAATGCCAATGAACTCATTTTTTGAATGCCGGTCGGAACACTTCCGGTGAGAAAATTGGAGCTCAAGTCTAGTTTTTGAAGCATACCCAGTTGCCCAATTGTGTTTGGAACCGAACCCGTGAGTGAGTTATAGCTCAGATCAAGTCCGACTAGTTTCCGAAGGTTGCAGAGTTGGATCGGTATGAACCCAGTGAGCTGGTTATAGCTCAAGTCCAGATGAACCAGCGACTTCAACTCCGAGATCTCCGGCGGGATCACGCCAGAGAGCTTGCTTTGCGATAACGTAAGGATCTGAAGAGAAGGCAAGTGAGAGAAGAGTTGAGAAGAGATAGAGCCAACAAGACCAGGGTTTGATCGGAGACTTAGCTGTTGCAGGGGAGAAGGTGGTCGGAGTCTGTCTTTTGGCACAGAAAGTGTTGTTTTTGTTTTGGTGAAACAATTAAAGAAGAAGATGGATTGAAGGTAAGGCAGTAGAAAGATCTGTGGAGGGAAAGTAGCAGTGGTTTTGCAGGTAGGGTTTGGAAGGGTACCAAAATCAAGTCTTGTGACATGAAGATGGGAGTCTGTAACACCTAATTTGCACTCGATTCCAGTCCAAGAAGTGGTTGGTTTACATGGGTTTGGAAAAGAGAGTCTCCATTTGTGGTCAGATGAGAGTGTTTCCATGATCTTGTAGAGGGTTTGTAGCTCAGATGGATCCATGGTGTCTTGTTGCAGGTGGTTGATGGTGACGGCGGTGGTGGTGGTGGAGACATGATGGGGCGTGGCAGTTAGGAGGAGGAATAGAAATGGGAACAGGAGGAGAATAAGCATTATGAGCTCAGTTTGTGTGTGGGTGTGGCCGTGTGGGGAAATGATGCCATATGTAGTTTTGGTAGTATGACAACAACTTTAAGGTTTGCTTCCAAACAGAGGTGTCAAATTAGGGTTCGAAGGTGTTAATTAGGGTTCAATAGTTATCGTCTTTTACTCTGTAAATGGTGCTGAGCTGGTAAAAAGCATGTTGTTTATCTGTATTTCTAATCGACAATATCGTTTGTCGAGACATACGTTGCTTTGATAAGGATCAAGAACCTCATTTATTAGATTACACCGATTAACATTTAGCTAATTTGCATCGATAAAACCGTGTTTTAGTCGTAAATATTAGTTAACTACAAATCTTAAACCAATGTTGAACAAAAATCAAACTAGCCATAAAAGTCAACATCTCAATGATTGTTTGTACATTCAAAAAAAAAAAAAAAAATTGTGACACTTTTTAAAATAAAATGTTCAAATTAGTCTTTTATATGATATTATCTAAAAAATGTTATATAGAAACAAACGTTCTACAAAAATCTGTGTTCATATATAACATTTCCCAAAAGAGTCGTATAAAAAAGCTAACCAAAAACTTTATTAATTTCAATCGTGTCTTAACTTAAAAACTTGTTAAGGCGTAAAAATTCGTCGAGATCAATTATGACGAACAACTGTTTGGTCCTATAAATCAAGAGCGTTTCCTCTTCCTTGGTCATATTTTTCATTAAACCTACCTTGCCGCCCAAACACTAAAACACGCATACTAGGACCATCGTCAGTGATTTGCACAAATTCTTGCACCAAGTAGTGGCGGATCTAAATTTTTTGTTAATGAGGGGTCGAAGATTAAGTAACATAATTTGTTTCTTTCATTTTGGATGTATTCCAAACAACTTTCACGGAGGTTCAAATGCGGTGAGTCCAGGCTATCTGCAAACCAGGTGGTCGTTCTGGAATTAGTCGGCTCGCATAGCGGGTTGGATATCCATGTTAATTTAAAAAAAAAATTTGGTTGAGAAATACCAGAATCATTACCATCAATACTGGTTTCGACTGTTGGTGTCTTTCTTTTTAAACACATTCCATTTTTCTAGTGAATTTAGAAAACAATTAACAAATAAAAAATACAAAAAAAAATTATAATTAAGCATCAAATATCAAACTCTAGACATAATGATTAATAAATTATTAACACTTTCATAGGGATAAATCAATTTTTTGGAGGGTCTACTTTAAAAACAAAGTAAAATTTTATAGCATAAAAACTTTTTTTCTTGAAAATTAGTAATGAGAATTGATCTGTTTAAAAATTTGTAACAACTCGTCCCACATGGATATAATATGAGAATTGTTAGTTAAGTCTCAAGTAGTAGACTATCAATAACTTTCACCATGGTTTTAAGTTAGATTTAAAATTATTATATCACTTCATTGCTTTGGGCTTTATGGGTATTACAAAATTTGATATAAAAAATAATTTAAGTAACTCACAACACGATGAATTTTGTATAAAGGAAATCAAGTCCTTCTTCCATACATGAATTTTGTATTCAATTTAACCTTATTATGAAGCAAATCGTATAGAACTTTAAAAGGCTTCGACCTACACGCAACGATGATTGCTTCTGCTTCATTGAACTTCATTGTGTATAACTCAAGTGTTGCAGGTTAGATCTACTAAACTCTTTACAGTATTATGTTAAACCGATTTCTGATTATGTGTTTATATTCCTATGCCTTCATAATTGTTATCATATTCTTAAGTAAAATTCATGTATTTATAACGCACACATCAACCCTGAAACAGAACATACACAAAAACATGATACATCCTCCAAAAATTCGTTACAGTAACTTGCATTCCCCTCTAACCATTCCATATTCACAAGCATGCTATGTGCAAGATGAGATAATGTTTGTTGAACGTTCGAACAACAAGTAAAAAATTCGGAAAAACTGACGGAAGTGTTCAGGTACCGTTGTCCACATAACATATATAGAGTGGTAACAAATTTCCTGATTAACCATAATTTTTTCAAATACAACATATCTTCCTCTTATCTGGAGGATCGTTAAGCCGATCTATTGCTCTAATGGCGAACATTTTCACCCCATCACTGCTAAAAAGTCTCCCATGAACCACAAATATCTTCTCATTTATAACATGAGCTAGAGGTAAATAGCAGAAAACTTCTGCAAATTGCTCCACAAATTTGTCACTCACCTTATATTTGACCTTGCCCTCAAAACCATAAATCTTGTTCATGCTTTTGCTCTCATGATTTCAACAAGAAAGATGTACAGCCGAATCAGTCAAGAAATAAAGATGATCACTTAAAATATCGAAATAAAGATGATCACCTATATACTGTGTGTGTGATTGAAATTTGAACTCCAGTATAAATGCATAGCTTCTAGACAGCCAGCACCCTGAGCGACTCTCGAATAATAAGTCCAAAAATGTTTTAAAAAATAAATAAAGTATATAACAGAAGTAGCCTTACTTGATGGAGACATACATTTAAATGCAAACGATGTATGAATCACCTCCACAGAGAAGGACCCACGATCAACAATGTCATCGTTAAACAAATAGGGATTTTCTTCAGAGGGAAGCCATTGAACTCAAAGATATTTAAAAGAGCAAAGAACTTACATCCATAAAAGGTCGAAGGGTATTTATACACCAGAGAGATCTTCTGCACTATTGTATTTGATAGAATGATTCATTTGAATTGTATAGATTTGTTTTTATTGCACTTCCAGAACACTTAGCGGGGGCTTATGTTGTTGGTCAGTTTCTCTGGGGGCAAGTTTATGAGATCTAAATAGGATCATCCATTGGAACCTGACAGCGGACGACTAATGCGTTCCACTTATTGAACATAGATATGTAACTTTTTCTATACTCCAAGGTGGTCCTCTTGTTAGTTGCATTGTGAATATTGATTGACATGGTAATCATTAATAACTATATTAATTATTTTTAATTTATTAATTACGATTTTATACATTTAGTGGTATACCTTAATCATATCTAAAATCAATAGTGCTCTTGATCTGAGTGTCTATAAATTCGACTTTTGCTTGTTCAAATCACATTAGCAATCTACCATGAAGAACATCTCCACTTTCGTCATCTTTCTGCTCATCGGCTTCTTTTTTTTCGGTAATCTTTTATTTTTTACAGGCAATTTTCTTCTGTTAACTTTAACAGTTAATTAGAAAACTATTTTTTATTTATATTGTCACATAAACTGTAATTTGTATTCTATTCAAATGGAACGGTAAATGAGTTTTAGTAAAAAGAAATTGTAGTTTTCGTAGTTTTGAAGCAATTTTTTTATAAAAAAAGAAACTGATTGATTCAAAAAATATCTTGTGTTTCTATAGTTACAAGATCTGAGATGTCGAAAGCACAAATTCCCATATGTGTCAAGACGTTCAAAATGATTCCATTTTGCAACTATAAAACATGTTATGAAACATGCGTAAGCTATTATGAAATAAGCTATACAGTAGAGTGCCAGCGTTTCTTAGATTGTATTTGTCGGTTCCCTTGTAATCAATAACGTTATTTGCAGATGTAAATTAACACAAAAATTCATATAAATAAAATGAAATGTTCATTATTTTTATGAATTTAGTTTGTAGTGTACATGTCAAGTACTCAAACTCATATGTACAAAATACAAAGATGCAATACTCTAAAAAAGAAATACTTGTTCCAATACTACAAGAAACTATACTCAATTCTTACCAAAGGGTCTTTGGCCTAGCGGTATGTGAGTCATTTGCCTTTTAGAAGGTCAAGGGTTCAAACCCTACCAAAGTGATGAGGGTGTGTGAGTTTATTTGTTCTATTTGCCGTATATAAATATTATATACTTCAAAAAAAACTATACTCAATTCTTTCTAAAAATAGCAATTTTTGTTTCAATACAAGAAAATCGTTTTCTAAAAAAAGAGTAAACTACATTTTTTGGCCATGTGGTTTGTTGAAAGTGGTCTTTCAAAAATATGGTTTTCAATCACCACGTGCCAACGCTACTAATTGAATGCTAGTACGTAGTTGTGTTGTCAGTAAGAAGGTAGTCGACGTCTTTCAAATTATATATGATTTGCAGTGCTTTTTCGGTTTTGGTCCTGAGAGTAACTCTGTTAAAGTTCAGATGTTCACTCAGATGATGTAACGAATATAATTCAAAAAGGTAGTTATAACCATTTAAAATAGAAAAAGAATCCTCCTATTTCTAATTAAAAATCGCTGAAACATATCCAGAATTGAAATCAAACAAATGATACCATTAAATTCGTTTATGTGAAACAATGCATGTGAAAAAATATCAACATCTAACATCAAATTCACCGTTAGATGCTCAGTTTTCATGGATTGTTTCACATTGTAAAACAATGTGAAGATACGATGTTCACAATATGACTATGTAGTTAAAGTCCATTTTACAAAAACGCAAGAACTTAACCCATGACCTGGTGGTGTGTTGACGACTTGGCCCATGTGCTAGGTCACACGAAACGTCACCCGCATATCTAATTTAGTATTACATTACATGTATATCACATGTGATGAACACTATACATTCTGTTTGTTCTCATGAAACTTAAATTCCAAGAAAAATGAAGAAAGTGTTTGATGGAAGCAATACATAAATTCTTTATTGTTCTTCAAAATTCAATTAATTGGTGTGTTTCAAATCCAAAAACAAAAGGATACAAAGCAAATTTTTTTGTATGAAAATGGTAGATACATAGTACATTTTACAGGTGACCTTAATTTAATGCCACCCTGTGTTTCGCCTGTTTTCGGTTTACATAAAAGCTATGGATAAAAGACGTAAACTTGAAGAAGTTTTTCATGCGATATGTGCAGTTATAGATTAGCGGACTTCCCCATCTTCAGCCAACGTAAACATAGTACCCGAAATGCTTCATAGGTAAACGCTAAGAGAACATGCGGAGGAAATTGCTGGCATATGCCATTGGCTTCACATCGGGGTGTGGCTGAATGTTTTTGCAGAAATACGATATTAAAACAAGTTATAGATATATGTGTGTAGAGAGAGAGGGGGATCATACGAGAAGTTATAAATTATGTGAGAAGACGAGAAGTTTCAATATCATATATAATTACACTTCTTTGGACGTGTTTAATCATATATGATTAATCATCTATGTGTTGTCAATGCAACATGCTTTTAATCATATATGATTAAACTTGTGTATCATGACATGATATTGAAACTTCTCGTCTCGCAAAATGTTTAGTTTCTCGTTTGAACCTGCCCCTATATGTATAATAGCCAACTATAGTCGAACATAAGAAAATTGGGATGGACCAAGGTAGAAAAAACTAACCACAGCCGAAAATGTGACAATCTTGGGCTCCATGGTGGGGGCTTCGAAACGAATGAAAGCACCCTTGTTTCCCATCTGAAACAACACCCATGTAATTTTAACGAGCCGCAAAAAGAAAGATGATTTGTAGAAAAATAAGACAATTCTACTTCCCATCTGAAACACCCAAACACACCCAGTATGTCTGACTCGGAAGTAGGGTCTCGGCAGTAAGTAAGATGTACATTGTACACAGACCTGACCTCGATCTAAATGAGTAGAGCGGTTGTTACCATGACCATCTATTTTTGGCAAATTTTTAAGCAAAATTACTTATTTGCCTATTCCCACCAATGAATATTATTGAAAGCAACGTTTTCGGTCAGCAAGATCCCCTATTTAATGCTTATGGGGAGGCTTATAACTAGTAGTCAAAACACTTATATTAGTTTGGAGGACGAAAACTCAAAGATAATTACCTGGTCGCAGTAGTTTGGAGCGGAAAAAACAGTGATGAGTTTTCCATCATGCTCGATTTCATAGCCTTCATCTTTGACCTCATGAGATCGCACAACTAAATCTGAAAAAATGAATCACAAATATCTTTGAGAATGTATGGCCTGAAGCTGAAATCATATCATCTAAATAGCTACTCTCTTGCGGAAATTTCGAGCTACTTCTATCAACTAAGTGTGAATTCAGATGCTGCAATTATATGGGACGGACAAAAGAAAAGATATTACCAAGATTGTTATCCTTCAAAAACCTTTTCGTTACATCTCCACCGAAAGAGAGACCTACACCACGCTTGCTTGGTCCTCTACCAGGATTAGGTTGTGGGTCACTCCATAATAGCTCACACATCAACCCTGAAACAGAACATACGAAAAACATGATACAACCTCTAAGAACTCATTATCATAGCTTGCATTCCCCTCTAGCCATTCCATATACACGAAAAAAAAAGCATCAACCATAGCTGGTAAACGTGCCGTGTGCAAGATGAGAGAATATTTTGTTGAAAGCTAGACCAGCAAGAAAAACTTTCTTGGGATCAACTGAAGGAAGTCTTCAGTTACCATCGTCCACACAACATATATAGACCGTAACAGATTGCCCGATTAACCATAAGTTAGTCAGATATAATATAGATTTAACAAATTTACTTAGCATAACATTTAGGTTTGAAAACAGTAATCCAGGAAACTCATACACAACATACCTTCCTCTGGAGGCTCGCAGAACCGATCTATTGCTCTGATGTCGGATAGCTTCACCCCATCAGTGCTAAAAAGTCCCCCATGAACCACAAATATCTTCTCATTTATAACATGAGCTAGAGGTAAATAGCAGAAAACTTCTGCAAAGAGCTCCACAAATTTATCACTCAACTTAGATCTGACCTCGCCCTCAAACCCATAAATCTTGTTCATGCTTTTGCTCTCATGATTTCCACGAGAAAGATGTATAGCTGAATAAGTCAAGATATAAAGACGATCACTTGAATATCAAAATAAAGATGACCATGCAGATACAAAGTGATTGAAATTTGAACTCCGATTATAAATGCATAGCTTCTAGACAATCAGCACCTGATGGGCTCTCAAATTAAAAGTCCAAAAAAGTTAAAACAATCAAGGGCACAACGGATGTAGCCTTACCTGATGGAGACATACACTTGAATGCAAACAATGTGAGAATAACCTCCACAGAGAAAGACCCACGATCAACAAAGTCACCATTAAACAAATAGGGATTCTCTTCAGAGGGGAGGCCGTTGAGCTCAAAGATATTTAAAAGATCAAAAAACTGCATCCATAGAAGGTCGATCATTATGAAAGAATAAAAAGTAAACAACTAATTGAATAAGATGGTAAAAGCTTCATACTTTGGTCAGAGAAACAATGTAAAAATAAGAACACATTAGCAAGCAACAACAGATGTACCAAAACAAGCATAGAAATGAAGATGGCCCCAAGCATACTGAACTATTAACATCCTATGAAAATAGAGTAAAGATCACCAGTTCAATATATATCCAGAAGAGCAGCCTCAGAATACCCTGATGTTTAAATTCCAAAAAATCGAACATTCACAACTGACGACAGATGCTATCCCTATTCACAAAGAGAAAGAAGTCATAACTGAAGAAATCAAGACCTTATTATCTTGGTCTCCTATCCTATGCCAGAATTTGTAACAGCCTGGTCAAGGAAGTTTTACATGAACAACCGGGCAGAAGGTCTACCAAAATCCCAACTACAAGCTATTTTATCTTTTTGCCCTTAATCTTTACTTGTTCCATACCAAATTTTCTAGTTCTGATTGGCAGAGAAATCAAACTTATGCAAGAATATGATTTTCTTGCTCCATACCATGAATGTGAACGTAAACAAACAACGTTGAATAAATTTCACACATGTTATGCATATGTAATGGATGAGCAAAAAGTGAACGCCCAGCATTAATCAAGACACGAGAAACAGACATGCTACTTGTCCAGATGAACGTTGTAGGGGTAAACTAAAATTGATTGAACTATAAATCAGACATAAATTTAAATTGTCATGATCAACCATTTCGCAGATAAATTAAATAAGAATGATGTGGTTCTTTAATTTTGGTTAAAGACCCGTCGCAAATGAATACTATTTAAAAGCCAACTACAATTATGTCGAAAGAAAAAATGCAGAGACAACATAAGTGAATGACAATCTACAACATAACCATATGAGAGCTTGCAAGATTATGCCAAGAACTGTCTAAGAATGAAATGATCAGTATCTGGTGAGGCTCTAGGAAACTAGAGTTTTTTTAACCTCAAGATTAGAGTGGCAACATACCATTGAAAGGGCTAAATTACATTCACTCCATTTTAGATTGCAATGTCACAACTATGAGAGTTGAAAACACTAGTTCCCAACTTCAAAAGCATACGAACTATGAACACTTAAACACTAATTTGCCAGTACTTGTTAAATATTTGTAGTTAACTTGCATTCAAATCCCAACCATGATTCCTTTCGATCTAGAGTTTGAAAGCTATAATGTTGACTCCTTTTAGGAAGTGGCAAAACAGCACATCATGCTATTGTGGTCCTTCCACCATTCTATTCCATCAATACCAAATCAATAAGATCAAACAGAAGACAACTCGCAAGACCAAACAGAAGACAGCACTTCCTAAATGAATTACCTGACCATGCACATCGCCACAAACAGTGAAGTGCTTTCCATTTGTAACATTTATGTCAACCAGAGATGGCAAACCAATTAGGATTTCCCTGGTCTGTAGAACAATCTGGAAGGCATACCTACAACACAAACAACACTCTTAAAAAGAAAGTAATAGCATAATGATACAATATTAGAGCATTAACAACAGAACTTCCTGCACATACCGTTTATGTAAACATTTCTGATTCTTGAAGTCATCCATCATTTTCTTTACAAAATCTAAAGTTATCACATCTCCCTCTATTCGTGCACCAGCATATTGTGGTTCCACATCTAGAGTTCACAAAGAATGATAATTAAGAAAACTTCATCATAAGAAAAATTGGAAGACCTCATCCAATTGAACTGTTGGGCTTTTGGAAAGGATGCAAGTATAGGAACTACAGAAAGATTACTTGGCATGACAAGATTCAAGCATAACACAAAAGCTTTTTTTCACAATAGGGAGGCTAAACCACAGGAGTATATTAGTCGTATTCTTATGTTTATGCTAAGATTTGAAATTTAAAAAGAAAAACTAACAAGGTCGAACATCTCTAGGAGCACATGTTCCCTGGGTCATAAATTGCTCTTGTGTATTTACCAAGTCACCAAAGTATAAGGCTAACAAAATTTGAAGAAGTGGAGAAATAAGGGAATACAAAGGAATTGCCAGAACTTAAAAAGGATCTAAACCTTATAGTACGAACATCAGAAAAGATGCATCCAGTTTGCAAGTCAAGCTAAAGCAAGAGAGATAATCTTTATCTCACTTCCATGAGATATACTGAGGTATAGTGAGGATTTGCCTTGAAGAATATAAAATATAGGTACAACTCCTTTCATCCCTCATCCGACAATGAAACTCAGTGAAATAACAAAAATTTGATAGACCCTCATATAACAGTCACACAAGCAGCACCAGCTCCTTCAGCAGTCGGATTCATTGATGACACGTGATAGGAAAAAAATCAGTAGAAGCCTAATTCATGTTTACCTTTTAAATATTTCCCGCTCTATGCAACATTCTCAAAGTTGGATTATAAAGGGTAAAGTGAATTGGTGTTACCCAGTCAGATTATTGATGATAAGATTCTCTCCATTTACTATATGTCAAGCATCTGAGTGAATGCAAACCTGAAGCACCTAAATGGGCACAAGAAAGCTGTACATATCTACCTACATATGCAACAAAAAGACAAAAATCCAGCCAAGCTAGCCGATTAAAAATTTCCCTGCACTACCTCATTTCTGAAAAGAATGTGGCTCTATGTTTCAACAGTCAAAAAAGTAAAATTTTATCACAATTCATACCTCAAACTATTTACTTATTTCATTTGATCCTTGTTCTTGACTTATAACAATCAGTAAACAAAAAGGTTGCAGTGTTGTTTGAGATGCTGAGAACTCATTCTTGATAAATACTTTATGGTCTTAGAGCTTCTATTTCATAATTTATTTAATTGTGCGATTTCTTATGATCCTTACTAAATTCTAACCTATGTTCAGTATTTGACTCTTGGTTAAGAAACCACCAGTCCAGCCATCCCACCAACCAGTCTTCTTGGCCACCAAAAATGTTGCCAGTGCTGCAGATGCCACCATTGTGGCTACTATAGGCCCCACCACCAGCATCAATATAGCCACTAGTGCTACTGCCACTGCTGCAGCAGTAACCTGAAGGGAATGATATGATGAGCTTGTGCCCGTCCCTAAAATGATAAAATAGGGAGAGCACTATTAAAATGCATAAGCATTAATGTTTCACAGAAGGGAACTAATATGAATTGCATAAGATGTTAGAAACCAAGCATAATTCAAGGACCAGGTCAACACCATCGTACTCCGGACAACATCCTAGATTAACTAATTCTTCTAAGAGCCACGTCCGCCAAAGCTTGAGGTGGGACAATAGCAAGTTCCTCTAAGCTTCCTTTAATCAGGAATCGAAATGAACCTTTTGAGGAACAAAAAAGGAAGGTAGCAAGTTGAGACTCGAAGAACATAGAGAGTACAATATCCACAGAATCGCTTCAATCTTGACCTGTACCTTAACAAACAAAAACATGTATAAACATTTACACGGCTAAACAGTCAGATGGCTGATTCTCAGCCAGTTCTGCTGATTGAACTTCTAAATTTTCCTTCTAACAGAAGTCCAAGTGGACTGGTTCTTGGAACAGGAAGAAAATCCAAGGAGAAAACCATTCCATCAAAGTCTTTAACACCGAGAAGAAAAAGTCACCAAAGTGGTGGGAATTCTAGATGTCAAAGCAACTCAGTTTTTTGTTAAAAAAATGCTAGTTGAAAGTGGCACTCACAAGTGTCCCAAACTTTGTCCCCAAATGTGCAGAAGGTAAAAAGGTAAATGAACTAATAATTTAGGTATTATCGAATTCAAGTTACGATGTTCGAATAGAGGGTCTTAAAGAAAGCACATGTAAAGCCATAAGTGTCTCAAACTCTGAATGCATAGACTTCCCATGTCACAGCCTTGATGCACCAAAATCACCTTTTGGAAAGAAGAAAGCAAAGAAACAAGAAGAAAGTTCACATAACCTATGCTGTTAATTGCGGCACTATTGCAGCAATAGCCGATTGCGGACTAAGAATAAAATTGTGTGGTGAAAATGCTGTGAAAATTGAGTTTCCGATATTAGCAGCACAATTGACCGATATTTGAGGTGAAATTGCAGACTGATATTCCGATATTTTAGCTTGTGCCTCTTTAGAACTATGTTGACACGGATGCTGAACCTATTGCTTGCAATTAGCTCATTTACGAACATTTTTACTATTTTGTTTTCTGAAACTTGTTTATGTTGATGTTTTGATGCTGAAACTATATTTTTAATTATTATATATGATATGTTTATGTATGCATACATATATATACATATATAATTCTAAGAAATATTATATGAATCGCTATTTTTGGACAGCTATAACCGCTAATCAAATATTGGTCCTGACTACAATTTTGTATTTTCACCGCTATAACAATGATGAATTCTATGAATAGCTTTCAGATGAGCTACGGCAGATATCATGTTAGTGAAAACCTTGAAATGGACCACCACTGAGATTCAGACAAGGACGGTTTCTGCAACCATCACCTCCGGAGAGAACATAAGGGAACGATAATCTACAACATAACTATATGATAGCTTGAAAGATTACGTCCAGAACTGTCCAAGAATAATAGCTGTTTTTCATACAATATATATATATATAACTTAAGAAACATCAACAAGTTCCTAGAACAATAACAAGATAGACCACAACATATCCAGCCACCATAACCTTCTTTTCTTCCTCCTCTTCGATCAAATAAGTTTCACACTAGGCAGTAGGCAAAATTGCATGCCAACAACACAAAAATAAGGAACAAATCTTTGACTGGAACCCTCTCAGACAATAAGACGAATATATTACCTTCATGTAACTCCTATATCAATAACCAAAAAAATTCACAAATACCCAGCTGCAGGGTGGAAGAGAAAGAGACTGGACAAAACCAGAATGGTGTACTACCATTAATAGTAACATAAACAAGATTTCAATCATAGATGCACACTTCCATCATAAGATAGAATACAAAAACAGATCCTTAATTCGCTGAGGGACACGGTAGCTAAAAAAAATACTATCCATTAAGATATGAAGTCTACGAGCTAGAGCTAGAGCTGAGCCAAATCTTAATGGAGTTGACATATGACATTCTACCACATATTGTATCCACTACTTAACCCCCATTTGTAGAAAATAACGTAATTTTGAAAAAAGAAACTCCTAGTGAAAATAGAAAAAAAAAAAAACATAAACCACTAAAAATCACCAATAAATAAAACCATAAAAAAGAATTATACCTAAGGTTCGAAAGTCGATAGATTCAGCTACTGAGTGTCGCTCAGAACTAGGCACCGAAATTGCTTCTTCAAACTTGAGCTTCATAACAGCTTTTTCGCATTCCTTCACTTTCTTTGAAGCATCTGGATCATTTGGGCATATTCTCTTCACCTAGTTGCATATATAGGTGTCCAGCAAAAGCATTGTAAGTTGCTGGTCAATTGACAATATTTTGTGCACATAATAAATGGATATAAGATACTAGCATACAGTTGTAACACAGAAACACCATTAAGATTTAACTGAAAAAGGTATTGGAGATCTGAATTATTTTGCAAGCTAATAGATGCACTTCTTTTGTTCTAAACTACGCCCAGTACTAGGTTTCTCTATGCTAAGTTATCAATACCTACTAGTACATAGTAATGACTATTTTTTGCAACATACAATACCAATATTCAGAAAGAGATGATGGTGGGTTCTGAGGGTAGTCACAATGGCTTCCAGGTGGTCAAAGTCATTTTTCCAGTAAACATCCACCAAACAGCTTTAGTCTCAAAACAAATACACATGCACATGGGGGAAGAATGAAGAGAGTTTGTGAGAAAGTTAAGTGACACAGAAACAGAATCCAAGGTTGTCAAGGATATGTGGAACAGTGGAAGGCAAAAGGCAGATCTAGAGAAGTGAGTAGATCAAAGATGTCTCACAAGAAGATCTAGGAATAAAGAAAAGGAAAAAAGTGGGTGATTTGAAAGAATATATTGAAAAAAGATCTAGAGAAGTAGATAGATCAAAGGTTTGGGCTGGTTTGAGAAAGGAATGCAGAATTCACCACAGACAACTTAAAGAAATAGAAGGATCAAGTTTTACTAAATTACCGGAGACTATGGTTAGAAAACCTGCTCAAGTTCAGTAGAAAAATAAGTTTGCATCTACTTTTTTCTCTTTTGTTCCCTTGGGAGCAGAAGGTTATCAAAGACTTGAGGTCTCAGAACTTAAATCAATATAACATCTTCTAATAACGATGGTCAACTTTGGTGATGCAGATGCAGCAATGATGGTCAAAAACAGTTCCAGAAAATTATTAAGCAGTGGTGAGCAAGTATAGATGCATCATTGTTTTCGTAGTTTAGAATTGCTAGGTTATCTAGATGATGGGAGCAAAGTTGAAAAGGGGTCTTACTAAACCAAAGTAAGAAGCTTAATTCGGTTTCTGGGATCTATTAGGGTGGTCTCTATCAAAACTTGAAATGGACAGAAATCAATATCTTCTCTAGAGGGTATATTTTTTGTGAGTGTTTTGATTTTTACTGTAGGGCCTTTGTTTATGTTTCTCAATATCGACTTTCTAACGGTTATAGACTTATAGTTGAGGTTCATTTATTTCTTTAGCTTCTGTCAAGAGGCAAAGTTGATTTGAGAAGCAGCATCTTTGTCTGTCTTCTTAGGATATGCAACGATTTGTTAGGAATTTACAAATTGGTTGTATGTATCCATACAGATAGAAAATATGTATGTTAACAATCATGATTTGTTTCAGTATAGATATTCTATACTCCTGCAATATATGAACTTTTATCATTAAAAGAAAAAGAAATATTACAATAATAGAAGCTTTGGCCATACTATACTCATCATCTCTATTTTTGAACTTTCTCCTATTTCTTTTTTGCAAAAACGGTTCAAGGAATAGCAAAGTAGCAGCATTCCATAGCATGCCCTGTTATCCTTTCCTAAAAAGCCTATCTAGTAGCAAGTCTGCAACTGCTTCTGAACCGCTGGGATATAGCTGAACAAAGGGAGAATATAACAGTACAGCTTCTTCAAGCCACTGCTCAAGCAAATGTAAGTAATCAAAGCTTTCACCAACTTGTACAGATTAAGCACCTTCAAATATAATTTTATCATTTTATATTTGTCTCGAGTTATCTGCCACTAAGAAACTTCCATGATTTGGCATTCAAACCAAACAAAGAGAAGAAAAGCACAAGCCAGATCACCTTCAAGGAAGTCATACATGTTATTATCGTCATTCGTCATGAGTACACTTAGGGAAAAGGCGCAAGTTAGGGGTCCAAATTGAACGGAATGAAACTGCCAAATTACGACAAGGAAAGGGTTTCCCATCTCAATAAAGGTCATGGAAAGACATGTAAGTTTATGAAAGATGAAGAACAAGAATTGGAAAAAACTAGCATCTACGAAGACATGATGCATGGAAGGACAAAAAGAGAATCTATTGACAGAATTGAATATGTTGATGCTTCTGAAACACAATGCTGGAGACAAAATGTTTGAGCCACCTAGAATCAATTTGATATATCCAAAGCTGTTTGTCTTGGGCATTTTTATAGATGCAAAAACTAGGACGGTAGCACTCTGTTACAAGTTGTGGTTTGTTCAAAAGCCATGATCATGGTGGAAAGTTTTGAAGGCAGGCAAAAAGAAGATATGAAGCTGCAACCATTACTCTGAAGCGATGCAAGACGGTCGTTACACTATTGAGAAGACACAAAAAAGTTTCAGCTATTTAATGGACAGTGCAAAACAGGAAACTCCATAATAAGAGTCAAGTGGCATGTAGCGTACTAGTTAATATATTTTGTCTATGACAAATAGTAGACTACAAATGTTGAGGACCCATAATGACTATAATCTGCATTAATCTTTTCTGAACCGTTAGTTCAAACTGTGGTTGTTGTTTTCATTTTCTGAATGTGTATCTGGTTTCTTCTTGTTTTTTGGCTTGTACTATAGTTGTTAATCCCTCTGGAATTCTTGTATGCATCTCTGATATTGCAGTGTACTGACTTCTCTCGATCCTTTCGAGGTATGCCCCTTAGATTTTGTATATTTCCCTATGTATGCTTCAAATCATTTGGCACTTTACTAATTAGCTTATGGAAAAGATCGTGGAGGAAATAGTAAAGTACCCTAAATATGTAAAGTGAGTAGCAAAAACATGATTCGACCAACACAAGAAAGACCATGGTCCATGGACTTTCTAACTCAAGCATCAGATTAGTAAAATGACTAGTCTACACATCACCGGTTAATAATTTTTCAACTTCAAGTGGAAATTAATGTATTCCCTTTATAGAAATGTTAACCACACACATGATTGCAGAACATATTCGTATGTTGCTATTTATATCTACTATAATCTAACATATAAAAACGAATCATTCTCCATCTTAATCAAATGATTGAAAAGTAACACAAACCTGTTGGAAATCCTTGAGTGCTTCTTTGAACTTTCCCATTGCAAGATATGCAGCACCCCGCCGATAATAACCCTAAAAATATCAAAATGTGATCAGAAATATAAACCATACAACTCTAAGCTTTCTAGTCTAAGAACACAAACAAACCAACACACCTTGGAATACTTGGGGTCAATCTCGACAGCCTTTGATGCATCCTGGATTGCGCTACCATACTCCTCCAACTTAGTATGAGCCAAAGCTCGATTCGCCCAATATACAGCAATTTCCCCATTTTTTTCAATTGCTTGTGTATACAAATCAATTGCTTGAGAAAATTTATTGGCTGCCAAATTAATTATAGCAACAAGAATCACCACCCATCACACTATACGAGTACACACACAACTGCATTTAATACAGTAAAAAGTGGGTCGATTAAAGAAAAGGGGACTTAAAGATTACCCTTAAAAGCTTCATTAGCTTGGAGTTTGATTTCTTCCGCCAATGAAACGTCTGATTTTTCGGTAGCCATAGAGGGCATAATAGAGCAACGAATAAGCTCGATTTTCTGTTGAGTTACAAGAAAGGGTATATAGATTGCATGCCAAGAGTTCCCTTTTCACCTTCAACACTTCCGTCTGGAGGACAGGGTAGTCACCGAGACACAGAACTTGCTTTGCAAAACTTTACCCTAGATAGTTCCGGCGCCTCTTTCATATCATTGATTCATGGAAACCTTTCACTTCACACCCTCGTAATATCACATTTTTACAATTATTTACCCCATCTTAAACGAACAGAAAAATCACACTCAAAATGGTTACATGTATGCATATTTTTTTAACTGAAACGTTTAAAACAACTCAATCAACTTTTTTATTTTAAATTATTAAATTATTTTTTAAAATGAAAAAATTATTAAATTTTTCCTTTTTAAATAATTAAGTCATTAAATTTTTTTAATAATAAATAATGGAACTTCTAAAATTAGTTACCGATATTAATTTAACACAAATTTACTTGAAATTTGTTAAGAAGATTCTAAAGTAAAAAACCTAATCAGTTTTACCGTTCCAAAACCCTATAACGATGGTTATAGAGGACATCGTTCTTTAATCATTTATCACTATTTGTTGTAAGTGTTATTTTATTTGGGAAAGAAAAATATCCACCTCCTCTTTCACTACAACAATATCCTTCATCGCCTTCACAACCACTGTCCACCATTGTCCAATGTCCATCGTCACCTCTACAATAGTCGACCACCACCATCCATTGCCACCACCACTACCGCTGTTCGCCACCTCCAACTTCTCCTCTACTGCAACAACCTTCTTCATCACCTCCACAACCATCGTCAACCATTGCCACCTCACCTCCACCATAACCACCACCACCACCACCACCATCTTTACTACATCAGCCACAACTACCTCTTCCACCATTGTCAACCGCCACCACCACCACAATCCACCATCTTCATGTCCTCTATAACAATCGTCGTCCATTAACTACCACTACCTCTACCTTCATAACCATTGTCGGCCACCGACCGCTGCCGCCTATTGCCACCACCTCCTCCACCATAACCAAAACCACTTCCACCACCACCACCACCACCACCACTATCAATTATATTCAAAACTTTCATTCAAATTTTGTACCATTAAATATGTATGTATTCATTTATATAAAAACTATGTAAAAATGTTTATAAGTTAAATTATTTAATGATTTACTTTATTTGTGTTAATTATAACTATTATTAACTAAAATAGTACTCGCACAATGCAGCAAAATACATATTGATTTTAATGCTTCATTTTGTATTTTGGCTCTATCGATGTTATAATGCAATTTTTTATTGTTTTGAGAAAACCAAAATGTTTTTATTTTTGAATAAAATATAAATTTGAAGATATTATAAAAACTTGAAAAAAAAATAATCGATATTAATATCAAATTAACTATTTAAAAGTTCTCATTTTTGTGTAATTTATTCAATTCAATTTTTTATTATAATTTAATTGAAGTTTATTAACAAACTAATTTATTTGCGGTCTAATAAAATAAAATTTTAAGATAATAAGTAGGTATTTTGTTAGAACACGGTGATTATCCTAATTATATTTTAGATTTTTATATTTAAAATGATGTTTGTCTGCAGTTAGTTACACGAATTCAAACATGAAACTTTAATAAGAGGTGCTAACACACATTCTACTTGTAGTCTTAAATTTTAAGTAATATACATCAATAAACAATACTTTATGCATCAAAATTGTTTTTAAGAGTTCTTGTCAAATGTTTTATAATATAGTATAGATATTTAAAATCATCAAATAACTTTTGGAGGTAACTTATCTAGTTTTGTTCGTCCAGTCTTAGTCATACCAAACACCAGACATACACTTGTTTTGTTCAGTCCAGTCCTACCATTTTGTCTTGTCCAGTTCTGTCCAGTCTAGTCTTGATCAATCATATATGCGTACCAAACACTATTTTAGTGAATTATGAGACCTAAAATGCACCTAAGAAATCCAATCATAAGCATTTCCCAAATATTTATAACATTAATATACCAAGGTACAATAATGTCAAATAATCATCATTTTATGCAATATCTCATCAATTTTATTTGTTAACAAAATGTCCAAAAAACTTAAATGTAACCATTTTATAAATTTTATAAAGTCAAATATACCAGATATATACATCTGATAAATATCAAGAAGAACATAACACTTTAAGACTCCAAAAATGTGTATTTTTGGCATGTATAAAATTTTCACAGAACAACTTGAAATTCACATTGCTAGATTAAATTAAACCTAGATTTCAAAACCAAATTTTTGCTCCCAAAATAAAAGCTTGAGATCCAACAAGTAAGAAAAAACTTTTCTAAAATCTTTCACAAATATTAAATCCACAGCAAAAACTTCTGAAACAACTTGAAAAACTAAAAAAAAAAAAAAAACTTGAAGTTTTTTGGGAAAAAAAAACTTAAAAATATCGTAAAAATCTTGAAAAACTTGATGTATAAAATTTATAAAAAAAACTCGGTCATATATATAACCAGTCCTCCTGGTCCCATAATCAATCTCGAGCAAGCCATACCAGAACTTGAATTTTCACAAAAAAATTAACCAATCTATACTATATTATAAAGCATTTGACAAAAACTTTTAAAACCCACTTTTTATGCATAAAATACTGTTTATTGATACATATTACTTAAAACTCAATACTACAAGTAGATTGTGCGTAAGTACAACTTATTAAAACTACATATTTAAATTCATGTAACTAACTTGATATATAAAATTTATAAAAACTCGGTCATATATATAACCAATCCCATAATCAATCTCGAGCTAAACCATACCAGAACTTGAATTTTCACAAAAAAAAGTAACCAATCCCTAATAATAAACAATGGTAGTGGTATACTGGTATTGCAATAAATTCGACTTGATAGGACATTTGAAATTATAAAAAATATTTTATAGAATTTAAGTTTATATGACCAAATTAAAATACGTCTTATCTAAAAGTGTTACAATAAGTTTATAGCTAATAAGACATTTTATTTAAAAACATCATAAATATAAAGACAAAATATTTAATAAATCAAAATAAAAAACATAAAAACAAAAAATATTAAGCTCATATCACTAAATTAGATTTTAATTAAATTTATGGTATTTTTTATTAATTTAAATTCATTTTTTTTAATAACCAAAGGTCATGGATTTAATTAAGAACTCGTTCAAGGTCATGTCATTAAATGACTCCAGATAAGTATCAACAGCTTATAAAACTCAAACGAACCACCTATGAAGCCCAAGACATGGTTTTTATTTGCCGATTGAGCTACCCTTTTTTTTATTTGGTTTTAGGCATACAGGACCAAAAGCCTTAGGCGTTGTTTGTTTTTTAATAAAAAAAACTCTTATTGGCCTTTTATATCTGATTCGTTAAGAGATAGGGTCATTCAAACTGTTTGTTTTTTCCATTTTTTCATAGGCACTTCTGTCTTATTGTGTTTTCATTTGACATTTTGTTTGCCTCTTATTGTTCTTCAAGCCCTCAATAATGACGTTTCTCAATCGATTAACCATAATCAATTATTTCTTTAAAGAGATCCTTACCAAATCAATCCTTATCTCTCTCAATTAATGTATTTTAATAGGATTTAAATTTGTTAAAATACCGTTAATTACACATTTTCATATAAATAAATGCTAATTATATAATTTAGATGTAAATTTCGTAATGATGATGAATAAATATGTGAACTTGTATAAATTTATCTATAAATTAAACACTATCTTTTTTTAAGGGGTAAATAGACACTTTAAACAAATTCAGACGTTTATCAGTTTACCAAAAACAAACCGTCTTATCGATAGTCTTATTGATACGTATTTCATACTTCAGCACAACCTCTTATAAATTAGAACTGAAATAAGACTTTAGATTCCAATCCATCTTAAAAAACAAACGCAAGCTTAATTTTTTGAAAACCCTAGATCCAATGTAGCTTCTTGAAGATCAAACCTTAATTGCATCTCCTTTTACTCTATTTCTTCTTTGAGTAAATCTAGACCTCCAACTTGTAGTTTTCTTAATAATTGGATCCAAGTACTGATTACTTGAAAACTCCACTTCAGCCTTCTTAAAGAACCATGATGACAGAGCCGTGGAAGCGGTTGGTGATCGCATCCCCTCTCCGGACAACCATTCATTTATTTCTATTTTTTATACGTTTTCTTTCAAATAGTTATAAATGACCTACAACAACAAACAGGTTAGATAATGATGTGGCATCAACCACCCAGGCACCCAACGTGGTAGCTGATGTGTATTGGCAACGACAGATCTATGAAGTACCTAGGAGGTTCGGTGCACTCACTCAACCAATTTTATTATAACTATAATTTTGTTTGGATATGAGAAGTGTTCGAGGATATTAGAAAATACAAAGAACATTAGCCAAAAAACCGAGAAGTCTTTTACAATCAACCAAAAAACTGGTAAAAAACCCCCTAGAAAAAGAGTGAATTCCGGTTAAAAACACACGGGTTTACATCTAAGATGTAGTATTTCTTCTTGTTCAAAATAGCAATTCCGTTTATAAAAATGTGTTTTATTCTTCAAAACGACACGATTGACTTTCCCTACATGGTCAATCGGAGTTGAGTTTTCCACACAATTAAGTCGCGAGCCGGCAACTTTACAACCTTTAATTCACCTTAAAGAAGCATCCGTTTGGCCAAAATCCTACTTCCACCACTATGTCTAGGTAAAGGCGGTTTCGGTAATTTATTGTTTAAAATAGTTTGTTGGTATGACTTTGGGTTTTTTAATCATTGATAAAGAGTTGAGTTCTCTCACGGTTACTAAATTTTCGACCGACTGTTATCTTTAAGGTCTTGGAGAATTAGTTTAGATGAATATAAATTGATCTGAGTACTCAGTTGTGAAAAAAAAACCCATAAATCCTTCAAAATTAAGCCAAAGCGGTTAATTTTGATAACACGATTGATTTTTATTGATAAATACGTAAGAGTTTGATTAATGTCTATGTTTAACGATGATTATTTTTTCACAACTTTATTTAAAATTTAAATATTATTTTCTAGTGACAATTATTAAACGTGTTCGATTTTTATGTACAAATTTCTTGCACCATGATCGGGCTTATGACGTTAAATATTAAAGTAAACTATCAAAATTAACAGATCCAAACGATGATACGGGAGATGTTGTGAAAAACCCCTCTTTCTGACGAATGATAATGAGGGGTATTTTCGTTTTTTATCGATTTTTCGTCATTTACCCATTAAAAACCCGTAGGAGCCAAATCATAAAATCGTTTTTCCATCAGTTAAATACAAAAGGGGAAAAACAATAGTAATTACTCAACATTCAGGGACTTAAAGAGAATATATTACATCAATAAATAGGATCATTCCATCATTCATAAAACATTAAAGATACCCCCTTTCAAGATGGAACAAAACCTAAGCATGATTCGAGTATCTGGTGGTGTAGTGGCGGCAGCAATGGTGGTGGTGGTAGTCGTATATGCATGGAGGTTCTTCAATTGGGTTTGGTTGAACCCGAAGAAGAAGGAGAGGTGTCTACGAGACCAAGGCCTTAAGGGAAACTCCTATAAGTTGTTATACGGAGATGTGAAAGAGATTGTGAAGATGATGACTGAGGCATATAGAAAACCTATAAACCTGACTGATGATATCATACCACGGGTTTTGTCGTTTGCTCACAAATCCATTAGCATTCATGGTATGTATGTCTAATCTTGTTTTAACGTTTTAGTTCCATAAACCAATACGAGTTAGTCTAATTAGCGTGGATTAACATATAACCCTCGTGTTCAAATTTCATATTTTGATTGCTCGATAATTAGTTATCAACGAGTTAAAAGACAGATGGTGAAAAGTTGACTTTTTATGAACGGTCTTAGGATATTACAATATAAAAAAGGTTATCTTKAATTTTCAAGTTTTTATTTAGGATTTCATTTTTTTAATAAAAAAATTGTGAATGATTGATAGGTAAGAATTGCTTTACGTGGGCGGGGCCGATACCGATCTTGCACATAACAGATCCAACGATGATACGGGAG